GATTCTTTTTTTTTTTTTTTTGCATTTTCTAGGGATATAGAGGAACAACTTTTATGTAGAAGCCTTTTGTAGATAATCATTAAAACCCATTCGAAATCGAAGCTTGAAATCACCCTCCTGGAAAATTTTTTTGCAAAACGGGGAATAGGCTGAAGAACCAACCCTATTAATCCCTATTTTTCTACTTCGTCTGAGGTCCTTCAAATGAAGTTTCTTTTTCTACACTTTCTAGGTTCATAGTAAAGTGATTTTGTGACATGAACATGGGATCCAATGATTCATATTCAAGTCATACAAGAGGTTGATCCATTGGAGTTCATCAAATCATCCCTTAGAGTCATCAAATCCGAGATCCCTTGATTTTCCTTAGTTTCCTTAGTTCAAGTTGTTTATGTTAGTTTCCTTAGTCTTTGTCATTTACTTGAAAAATTCTAGTCGTGTGTATTTAATTATTTCCAGCAAATATAGTTGGTTAATTAGTTAATTGAGTTGTTAGTTGGTTGAATAAATGGCTAAGGTCATGTTGACCATAGTCTAGTCAACCTAGAGTTAGGTTTAGTTTCCTATTCTAGTCGAATTAGGTTTTAGAAAAGTAGTTAATTGCTTCCAAGTTTGTTTAAGTCTTTGAGTCTTGTAAAAGATTATAAATAAATCTTAAGTCCAACGTTTTTCATAAGTCATGATGAATTAAAGAAAATTCCATCAAAAAACTTTGTGTTTAGCAATTCTCTTGTCTAAGAGATCTTTTCTTAAATACTTGAGACGATTCTTGAGTTTTCAAGTGACTTATCAATTCAAGATCACGTTGAATTGTGGCATCATTCTATCTTTCTAATCAATCTCGAGTGGTCCTTAATTATTTCAAATCCATCCTTTTGTGTTCATAACCTGATCAAGATAGATCCTTCCGCTATCTGTGTAGTTTGTTTCTTCAAGAGCGGGAATTCGAAGATTCGAGTTCGCATCATTTTGTATTGAGAGTTTTTAGGGAAAACAGTTTTAAGGCCTTCAAATCAGAGCTCGAAGTAGCCTTCCTCACGGTTCGTGACATCAATATCAATCACCTGAGTTTACTCCGTTCTGGATTCTGCGCATTTTCCTAGGATTTTTCCACACTCAATATGATTCCATAAGCATCAGAGATAACTTTTATTCATTCTTCTCTTTTGATTCAAGCTTGGATCTGCATCTAAATCCAATAAATAAGAGCTCTAATGTCTTGCTTTTGACTAGGGTTTGATGATCCATATTATTCCTTTGTTGTGCTTGTTTCATGACTATATTGGCTTGGTAATGTCTACTTTAGTGGTCTGATGAATCTCGTTTGATCTAGGGAAATGCCAAGATTAGGAAGTTGGCTTCTAGAATTATGAATTGGGGATGTTTCTTTTTTTGCAACTTATAAGGCTAAACTCATGTTTTTGGATTTTTGAATCTTTGAAAGAAATTTATTTTTCTCCATTTGCTCATGAACCTAGGAAGATATAGATTTCATGGTTGTTTTCCTTGTGCTGTAGAATTTGTGATTTTTGTTAGAATAAAATATATAAATAGGTTAAAAAGTTTGAATTTTTCTTCAAATGGACCAAGTCTTTGTTTTATACTTGGTCTCGTGCTTTATTTTCCTTGGGTTTATGACATGGGATTTGGAACTCAAGTCCAATATCTTTATTAGGTTTAAGTTTGTAAAATGAATTGAATTGGACTGCTCTTTTCAATAAGACAACTTTGTTTATCTTTTTTGGGCCAAAGTGATGCAGCCCAAATGCATAAAAATGGCCCAACACTGTTTTATATGTAAGGTTTTGAAATGAGAAACAAAATTTGTAATTTGACCCCTAATTCTTTGAGTAATTTTATTATAGGTCTAAATTTTGGATTTCTTTCAGTCAGGCCCTTCATTAATTGTATTTTGGCCCCTAAACTTTATCTTTATTCAAGTTGGATCCCTAATCTTTTTGAGAATTATAATTTAAATCCAAAAAATTTCCAATTTTTGCAATTTAGTCCTTGTTAGTTTTAATTTCTCAATTACAATTATTTTTCTTCTTTAATTGCTAACTATACTTCTTTTAAATGCATTTAATTTGTAAATTCTAGATGTTTTATGTTTATTTACATTTTTGCAATAATAAGAGAAATTTAGTATATGTTTATATTCTCTTTTAAAGTGTCATCAATTAAATTACTGCATTGACTCGTTTGTTGATTTGAAAAAGTAAACAACTCTTCGTTCCCCTCACTTAGTCATTATTTCAAAAGGGAGGTGCCCCTATTATAATTTAAATCCTTTTATGTGCTCCTATGTGCTCCTGCGTGTTTATATGTTTTATGTGTTTTTCTTTTATTTATTTATTTTAAACTTTCGTTCATTTTATGTTTGTTTAATTTAAGTTTTATGATTATTTGGAGGGCATTTAAATGCCCAAATTGTAGTAGATAGGTTATATCTCCTTGTGCAAGAAATGTAATTAGATAGGTAATGTAATAGATAGGTTCTATTTTTGCAAGAAATGTAATTAGCTAGATAAATGTAATAGATAAGTTAGATCAGTTTATTATCTTATATTTTTCCTTTTAGATTATAGTTAGGGCCCCAAATGTAATAGTTAGATCTTATGTGTTTGTGTGTTTATGTGTTTTATTCACTTTCTCTAGAGTTTTGCATCTAGATATTATGTCTGTGTGCTATGTGCTTTACATGCTCTATGTATTTTATGTATTTATTTGTTTTAATTATACTCTATATGTTTTATTTATTTATGATGAGTGCATGACGTCACCACACTAATCCAAAACTAGTTGTGGTTTTTCTCTCCGATTTTTCACTAGTCCAATGCTAGTGAGAACTTGTAAAAATCAGCTAGTCCAATGCTAGACCTTTAGGTCATTTACGTGCTAGATTCATACTTTTTGTAACATTTATTACATTTCATGCATTTTTTCCCCATTTTAGGTTATTTCCATTTACATGATATGTTCTCTTATTCTCTTATCCCTATGTGTACAAATCATATCATTTAGATTTGCATTTCATTTAGATAATTAGAAAAAAATAGGCTAGTCCATTTGTTTGTTTAGGTTAGAAGAGTCACCCTTCGAATATGGGGAATAGGCGAGTATGGCCTTTTAACCTTAGCACGCTATTACCCCTCTATAAGAAGGAAAATTATGTCACGAATTTTAGTTTTTCATACCCTATTGTGTTGCATTCTCCTCTTCTAAGTGATGTATATGTATCTATATATCGTAATTTTCTTTTTCGAATCTCATCTTTTGCATATTCATGACTTTTTCAAGTGATTATTTTTTGGTTTCACAATTAATGTAACGTGCACCACTTAAACTTTCACTACAAGAAAATTGCGTTTCTGTGACAGGCGAAAGTTGTCACTAAAAATTCAGAAGTCGTCACAAAAAAAGTCAGTGACGACTTTTACTGCTGTCACAGAGCTATCACTGGTTCTATGTCACAAAAGGGGGTCCATGTGACGACTGTTGAAAGTCGTCACAAACGATTTCGCTTTTGTGATGACTCTTGTCGTCACTCATTGTTGTACATTGTGTGACGACTTTTATTGTCACTAAGCTGGCTAACTTCTTGTCATAGTCAACCCTTGGAGTTGTCACATTATGCTTCCGTTCAGTGACGACTTTTGTTGTCATTGTTTTCCATCCATAAAAAGTGACGACTTTCTGGTGTCACTAGTGAAACTTGTTGGCAATGACAACTTTTTTTATTGTCATTTATTTTTTTTGTAAAAAGCAATAATCTAATGTTAATTACGCAACATAGCTGCCAACAATCACAAAACGTTCATTGAGTAGCAAGGAGAAAAAAAAAGCCAACATACGAAAAGAAAGCCAACATTCATTTCCAATAGAAGATCAACCCAAATACATATATATATAAATGTTGCCTCAAATGAGTCATAAACCATGCACCATCCAAAATAAGCCATTCAGTTACAATACTAGTGATTTCCCATCAACAATAGAGAGTAGTAAAGTTCTATACAAAACTATGAGCACGATTCCCATCTAGAACAAAACATGAGCACGATAGCCCTTGTAGTCTTCAAATCAAAAACCATCTTCACAGCAATGACTGGCTTCTTCTTCTTGGGAATCGTGTTAGAACCTACACGTTACCAAAATTGAAGCAATTAGCACTGGTGTTAAAACTGGAACTACACTTCTAGATAGGCACCATATTATAAAAACTAATGTCACTCTAATTTGAAATTATAGCAATCTAAGTAAATTGCTTAACACAAAAATAAAGTGAAATTATAGCAAATAAGACATTGAATGTATATTCTATGAAATATAGAATAACAATACAAACACAATAAATATCTGCATGTTCATAAATATATATGCAATAACAATAACAATAACAACAATAAAATCCTAAAATCATTGAGAGCCTAGATGATCGTGAACCACACAGTATATCAAGAAAAAAAACACACACACACACACACAATCACAGGTGCCTCTTTTTCCTTAGCACAAAAAAAAAATTCTGATACAGAAAAATTTAGATGAGTTCGACAAAGAAAAAAGTGGAATACATCCCAACGTTCAAACACCTTTGCTTTAAAAACACTAAAGTTTTGGTTGCAACATCCAGCACCTCAATGGCTGTAATTAAACATGAACAAGATTTCAAGCACCTAAATCAGCCTCAAGCAACTCAATTGCATTAAACAGGAATCAGATTTGGTGGATCCAGATTTCAAGTGCCATCAAGCAACTAAATTGACATCAAGCAACCCAATTGTATTAAAAATGAATCTCTATTTTGTAGAACCAGAATTCAAGTGCCTCAATTGTGAATGATATGAAGAGCAAACAATTTATTTATACCTGACACAGAAGTTGCTATTTGCGCAAGTCTTTCAGCTGGTTAGCTAACTCATCATACAGGCTTTTTGTTTCTGTTTGTTGTTGTTGCAAGGTCTTAATCAACTCTTGTTGAGCAGTGAATTGTTGAGTTACTTCTGCAGCTCATTTTTCTGCTTCATCTGCTCTTTTTCGGCTGTCCTCAATCTCATGCTTCCAGCGTTCTACCTCAGCAGCTTGCTTCTTGGTTGCACTACGACTGCGGATGTGTCCAGGTATGTAACCAAGTTCTTGCTCACATATTTCCTTGCTAGTCATTGAAGTTGTAGCCTGCAATTCCCTCATTTTGTCCTAGGCAAGTAAAAAATATGATCATTATGTAGCTGGAATGGATGTCAATAATTTAAAAATCCATTATCCAAGCGAAACAGCTCACCAAGGTCTCTTTTGCTTTGTCATTTACCAGCCCCCCTGACTTCTTTGACTTTCGACTTAACTCAAACATGTCTATCTCTGAAAGCTCGACATCTTCTTTCCTTTTCTGTCCAAATTTTCAATTTTTTCATTTTCAGTCATATGACAAAAAGGATGTACATGTACAACTGTTGGCTGGGTTTCAGATTACCTTTTCCTCAACAACTCTTGCAAGCGATTTTGTGCCAACAGTAGTATGGCAGTCATTTTTGGCACGATTTTGCTTGTTACGTTCACTAATTTTCTGCCACAAATTAGTGAAAATTTTAACTGACAAAGATTAGCAAATTTGTGAAGTGAAATCTGAAATTTAATAAAAGGATAGGTTATTTTGACAAGCTAACCTTAAATTCATCATTTTCAAAGTAGCTGACCAGCCACTTCCAATCTTCTTCACTCACACCTTCAGGAACTTGCCTCAATGCTTCTTGCCTTGATTCAAAACTCTGGAAATACTTGTGAAGCCGATATCGATGGTTTCGATATTGTGTGTTTAACTGCCTACTAATAGCAGTTTTTGAGGTGATGTGCTCTGGAAATCAAAAGTCATCCTACAATAACAGTGCAATCTACTTAAAACCAAGCAAATCTAAAGCAGTAAAATCTCTCATACTTTCTGGATGAAATTAGAGTATTAGCAGGTCAACAAATACCGTAACCGTGCTGTATATGCCTTCTCGGTCACCGGGATTGAGATGGGACCACTTTGGAACATTAAGCCTAGCAGCCTTCCTAACAACACAACCCCCTTCTGTGATGAAGTATTGAGAATCCTTCCCAACAATCCGCCGAATACAATCATCAATTTCAATGGTGAGCGTCTCATTAGCCTCCCTTTTTTTTGATAATGATAGATTTCGTGTACGTCCTCTTCTTCTTGCTGCCAGCAGTATAGCTATTAACAAATATCAGTCCATACATTACTTTGACCACATTAACAAAGTTAGTCATGAAATAGAAACTTGGTTTTTAATTTCAGCCGTGAAAATGAAGTCTAACTTACCATTTTCTTGCTCTTTCGAAACTGGATTTGTCTCATTTTCTCCGGATGCACGAGACTCAGATGTCTAAGGGTGTATCATCCTACTCTCACTAGCAATTTCTCTAGGTGAAGAAGTTGGAGTGACATATATTGCATCCTCTGAGGATACACTCTTGGATGCACTTCTTGGTTGATTGCTTCCAACTGAATTAGGTATTGCAGGCTATTGTGCACCTTGAGCTTTTCTCTGCAGCATTTGGCCTCGCTTTCCTGGTCCAGCCATCTAAAAGTAACAAGAAGTTAGTGTTACAGCATAGTATAATTTAGGAATAAAAACTAGTTAGCCGGAGTTAAAGAGATTAAATTTAGTGTCATGTAGTCCTCATCAATTTCACCTATTCCGAATCGATGTCATTATCACTAAGAATCTCCTCTTCGTCTTCCTCATTGTTAGACTCATGTTCATTCACTTCATCATCATCATTAATGAAATCTTCAAAGGTGCCATTTGAGCTATTTTTTGACTTCTCAGCATGTACAATGGATGAAGGTACAACCTTCGGTATCTCATTGTCTTCTCTTGAAAGTAATGGTGGATTGTCGAGGTCTATTATAATAGTGAAATCCCCAGTTGCTTCTTCTTGATATATTTCCTCAACCATTGGTTATATTTCTAAATCTTCAGGAACATCATACAAGTGCCTTGGACTGAACCTCTCGACGACAAACCAGTTTTTGCCTAGTTTCAAGTCTTCAAGATAAAAGACTTGTTGGACATGTTGAGGGAGGACATATGGTTGGTCTTCATACCATTTTCTGGACGAATTGACACTTGTGATACCCCATTCTTTGTCCACTTGCATCCCAGCACTATCATCGGTCTTCCACCAGTCACACTTGAATACTATAACCTTTTTTTTCCCGAGCCAGTATCTTACTTCAATAATTTGTTGTATCACACCATAAAAATCGATCATATTGTTACCATGCTCACCTCTAACTACAATACCACTGTTTTGAGTCTTTCTTTGCCTTTCCCGATTTTTCGTGTGAAACCTATACCCATTAACCATGCAGCCCGTATACATGCAAACTCGGTTGTCTAGCCCAAATGCTAATGCTCGAAGCTCACCATTGGAAGCCTCGCTGCCATACATAACCTAGTAAGGACAATTTCACCTAAATCAGTAATTTATTGTATTAGAGATAAAAAAAGTAGGTTGTCCAAATGACACTACAAACATACACGCTGTTTAACCCATTTTGCAAATTCTCTATCGTGCCTTTGGTCCATATTTTCAGCACTCTCTGCCTCCAACTCCATTTTATGCGCACTATAGACAAAAACAATCACCTTGTATAAATTTGCCTTTGAACATATCAAAATATAGAACAAAGGTACAAGCTTTAATTAACATTAAAAGCTTACTTTATATAGTCCTCAAGCTCATCACAATTGTTCAATATAAATGTATGAATTTTTTCCAGCTCTGAGTCAAGGAAATTGCCCCTTTTGGGCCCTCCAAATGGACGACCAGGGCATGAAAAAATGGACAATTCACCAGTATTATATCCCCTATCATTGTTTCATTCAGGCTTGTTGAATATCGTATCAATATTGTCTAGGTACATAGAGCAGAATGTCAAGCATTCTTTATCTATGTACTGCTCAGCAATGCATCCCTCTGGTCGGGCCTTATTCCCAACATAACTTTTCAGCACTGCCATATGTCTTTCTCAAAGGAAAATAAAAGAAATTAGAAGATTGCAGTGGTCTTTAATAAAAAAAAAACTTACAAGGCTATATGTACAACTCTCTACCTCTCAAATGGGAACATCCAACGATATTGAGCTGGACCGCCAAGGATAGCTTTAGCAGGCAACTGAACCATCAAGTGCATCATTATATCGAAGAAAGCTGGAGGGAACAACCTCTCTAATTTACATAAGATGACTGCAATTTTTTGGCCTAACTCCTCTAGAACCTCTCTATGTAATGTTCTAGCACATAATTTTTTGACGAATTCACTTAACTCGAATAGCACTTGCCGAACTTCTTTTGTTAAACTTCCACGGATTGCAAGTGGGAGTAGCCTTTGTATAAAAATGTGGAAGTCATGACTTTTCATTCCAGAAATTTGAAACTGGCCATTCTTTATACATCGGCAAATGTTTGAGGCAAACCCATCTGGATATTTGATAGAATTCAAGAACTCACATACTTTTTTTTTCTCCTCCTTGGTTAGGCTGTAACAGGCATGTGGCATGATATAAGAGTCGCCATTTGGAATCAAATGTAGCTCTTTTTTCAAACCCAAATCCTTCAAATCTTGACGACACAACCAGTGGTCTTTGGTTTTGTTTTCAATATCCATAATTGTGGCAATGATAGCCTCTGAGACATTTTTTGACACATGCATTAAATCCAAATTATGCCTAAGAAGGAGGTCTGCCCAATATAGTAACTCAAAGAAACAATTTTTCTTTGTCCAGTTCAAACCACTCTCAGAACGCTTGCGTTTCTTTGCATTGGATTGCGCCTTGGTCTTCCCAAAATTTACCTCCATATTTTGTACCTGATCCAAAATTTCATTTCCAGATAAAGGTGCAACAGGATTCCTAAAGTCCACATTGCCATCGAAAGGTTTTTTTCTCGCCGCCAAGAATGGTCAATGGGTAAGAAGCGGCGATGACCTGTGTAACACAACTTTTTTCGGTGTGGTAAATGTACGCAAGTTGTCTCAACCATGCAAATAGGACATGCTTGATACCCTTTCGTACTCCATCCGGACAGCATTGCATAAGCTGGAAAATCATTTATAGTCCATAGTAAAGCTGCCAGGAGGTCAAATTTCTTGCCACTATATGCATCATATGTTTCAACACCAAGCCACATTTCATTCAGTTCATTTATTAGAGGCTCCATGTAATCATCAATCTCATTTCCCGGGGATTTAGGCCCAAGAATTAGCATTGATAGGAAAAAGAAAGGATTTCTCATACACTTCCAAGGGGGCAGATTGTATGGCACTAGATAAATAGGCCAGATGCTATAAGCACTACTCATGGTCCCAAAAGGATTGAAACCATCAGTTGCAAGACCTAACCTCACATTTCTAGGATCAACGGCGAAGTCCGGATGCAACCTATCAAAGTATTTCCATGCTTCACTGTCTGCTGGATGCCACATGATGTTATCATCATGCACACACTTTTCTTTATGCCATCTCATATCTGAAGCTATTTCTTTGTGGGTATATAATCGTTGCAGCCTAGGCTTCAAAGGAAAGTAACGCAAAACTTTGCGTGGAACTCTTGAACCTGCCATCTTGTAGCGAGGTTCTTTACAATTTAGATTTGGACAAGTGTCAAATTTTTCATTTTCCTTGCGGAAGAGAACACAGTCATTGACACAAGCATGGATTTTTTCAGATTTAAAACCTAAGTCTCGAATGAGTTTCTTAGCATCAGCAAAAGACTTGGGAACTGTGGCTTCAGGAGGTAGTGCATGCCTAAAAATTTCCAGCAATGCATTGAAGGACTTTATAGTCCACCCGCTCATTGTTTTCAAATGGAGCAAAGTGACTACAAAGGATAGCTTTGAGTAAAAATGATTCCCTGGATACAGCTCCTTTTTTGCATCTTCTAACAATTTAAGAAAGTTATCTGTGTCACTATGATTCGCATTTAGACTATCATCCGTTGATTCTTCCCTACCAGCCCAATTGTCCCCCCATTGTGCTGTCCCAATGTCGTGCAACATGTCATTTAAATCTTCAGTATCACTATCCTCCTCTCCATCCCCATGTTTAGTACTATCCCCACAATTTTGGTGTCGAAATTGTTCCCCATGGTGTATCCATCTTGTGTAGCTTTTACGAATGCCTTGAGTCAATAAATGATCCTCCACAACTGTTTTAGTTTGGTTACAAAAATTATTGCATTGTGTACATGGGCATGGGATTTTCTGATTTTCAACTTTTTGAGAATATGCAAACTTGAGGAAATTTTTGACTCCGAGTTCATAAGCCTTGTCCTTCCTATTGCTAATCTTCATCCAAGTTTTATCCATGTCCTAGATATAGACACATCAGCCTTTAGTACAAAATACTTTTGTAATATCAAACTAAAGAGAATACAAGTTTTTTATGAGACTTTCATGCAAAAGAAATGGAAGAAGATTTCGGCAAACTGAAGGTTTCGACAACACTAGCTGCAATTTTCATTTTCAATTGTGGATTCCCTATCAGATTGAATATCAAACCAGGCAATGAGACAAAACCAAGTAGCAGAAACATCACGAAACTCAGAGGCAGTCCTGATATGCTAATCAGATTTACAAGTTCATCAACCAGACTCAAATGCGTAAACTTGAGACAGGGATAGGGAAAGATAAAATGCAGCAATGAGCATTGAACGAATGCCCTGTTACGGCCTGCTATTAGACCACTTGGGCATTTCAACAAACAGTAAATGAACATGAAAAATTCCAGCAATTCTTTGCTCAAATGAAGCCACGGTTGGCCCCAAAATCATCAGAAGTACAAGGGATTTCAAATTCAATCATGATATAACATGCGCATGCTAAAATTTGAACAATCAACGGGGCAATTGCAATAAACGAAGCCATGGCAGACATGCTTAGAGGACTTGGGAAGGAACTGAAATTCAAAGAAAAAGAGTCGACTTATAGTGCTCTTACTTGAGCGGTGGCGACGGCGATTATGACGAAGCCGAAGACGGTGAGTTGGAATTGGAAGATGACTAGGTCTGACTTCGTCCGAGAGCCTTCATCTAGTGTTACAGAGAACGGCAGCAGCCCAGGAGGTTGTGCGCGGTGTTGGCGATGGCAGACAGCAGCAGAGCGGACGCGGACTGGTGGTGACCTGGTTCTTCCTCCTCTGTCCGTTGCCGCGCCTTTCTCTCCTGATCTTCCCGT